TTTCTTAAATTTCCAGACCAGATGTAAAATCATTCCTGTCTGTCTGCTGGATTGATATTTGCCCTATTGCATTGAAGGTGAGAAACCCTTGAACAGGGAGAGAATTGGGAACGCAAATAAAACGCCTGCATTCCATCGTCTCTTGGTTAAGCACACGCTCGGGATATTAACTGTTCACTTGAGAGGACAATGTGTAGCAATGCTGCAGACTCCATCGTGACTACGGAGTAACATTTTACAACAAAACGATTTGCCTGCGATATGACTTAAGGGAGTTCAGCGCACAACTGAGAAGGCAATGATGGGACTTTATTGCATGTGTCATTTTGAGGAGGAAAGCCTTTTGTTGTTTTTTTTTCATAAGAAGCGCTCGTAGAAACATTGAAATTTTAGCACAGGAAGAGGTCAAGTCAATCTACTGGAAATGCAGTTATCTGCCATTCCACTATAGGCCTCCACGCCATCCGCGTATTATACAGAGTGATCAAAATGCCGTGATATCTACCCCGTTATCTTAAAAAAAGTCATAATTTCTTTAAGTCTTATTAGACATTGTAATCTTACCATGACTTTTTGGTCACTTTTTGGTGCAAGAGTTGTTGCAATGTGTTTCCAGGTAAAAAAAAAAAAATCATTGATGAGAGATCAGTGAAATCTTTGTGCTTTTACAGTGAAGAGACTCTGGCTGGAGAATGTTTGGGTCAATAGGATCTTTGACAATACAAGACTGGCTATTATTCGGCAGTAACACTGGTATTGTGGCAACAAGGCAATTAACCTGTTTTTAGAAACCACTGCATACGTTCTTTTCGTCCACAAAACATGCAGTCGATTCACTTTACATACAGTATATCCTGCAAAGTGCTTTGAGGCGTCCAGAAGACGTGATAAGGAGCTATATCAAAATGAAAGGATTACCAAACACTCTAAAGTGACAGGCGGATCTTTCTACACTGGAGTTCTCACAGAATCGTGGTAAAACTGAGGGTCTGCGTTGATCCCAGAGCTGGTTCCTGGCCCAAAAGTCTCTGGTTGCCAGCAGCACGTTTGAAGCCCTCTCTCTGGAGCTCAGAAGTGGTTATAACGTGGAGAAAAACAAATCCATTACAAGGGGAGAAGTTGCAATGTGTTGGGGAGAAGATGATTTTAAAAAATCTATTACCGGTACGTTTCTTCTCTCTCTTTCTTTCTCTCTCTCTCTCTCTCTCTCTCTCTCTCGCTGCACAATATCTGCAGGTCTTCATGATCTGCCAATTCTGAGAGAAGGGGAAACTTTTTTTTTCTGAGTTCCAGAATAGATTCAAAGGATTCAGTAGTATTGCAAGTTGTCGTATTCCCACTTTTGCTGGGTCTCAAATATAAGTTACAACTAGCGCGTGTCAGAATGGGCTTAGATGGCTAAGAAAATACAGCAATGTACTTGCCAGCTCCTTAGGGCATCCTCCCGACGTGAAAGGCGCTATACAAATGTAATTTTGTTGTTGTTGTAGTTCACATTTCATGCCCCGATTATTACCGCTTTTTGATCAGTAACATCACAATAAATAAAAACTGTCTTGTATAGTGGGCAGCTTACTATGTTACACCATGCAGTTCATACAATTTACTTTTATGTAGTGCCTTTCTGGAGTTGTCTGGTTTCAGAGCTGGCCTAAACATATAGATTTCTGTAACCTGATACGAAAACTGTTTATGTGTAAATCAAGTGTAATTTTGGTTCTTCCACCTGATGGTAATTTTTTTTGTATGTATTTTTCCCCTCAATAAATTGGAATGAGATGTGCTATGAAACTAGAGCGTGTTTCAGTCCTGCTGCGAACTTTTATTACGTTGAATAGTTTTATATTAATAAAATCTAAAATTAATAAAATTTTAATAAAAAAGGCCTTCCGTGGTTTATTGGGTAAATATGTTGTTGGATGTACCACTAAGCCATCCAGGCCAGTAGGTCAGAAGTTTGAACTTGACTAACTCGCCACCCACTAATTTCAGATTAAATGGCAATGGAAAAATGTGCTTGGACTGAGGTATCTCAGGACTATGGGGAGGAAAGGTCAGACCTGGGCTTCTGCTTGTGATTAATCTCCAGTGATTCCAGCTGGGCGGAAGTGTGTGGATGACTGACGTGGATCAGACTGGGCTCGACCATCATATTGCTCACAATTCAATAACCTGCTGGTCTTGCACTCTATTCAGCCTCCACATGAGGAAAACTGCTTGCGTTGCTATCTGTGGAATTGTACCCCATCATCATCATTCACCACCTTCAAGTAGTCGAGGGGGGGAAGCCAAGAAAAAATAAGTTTAAAACTCCAGGGATGACTGAGTGTGGTGGGGCTCTGTGCTTAGAATTCCTTTGAGGTTTGTAATGGCTGGAACCCCTTTAAATGCCCCTCGCCAGCTTTACATGGATTATCTGGTGAATTAGGTGATTATTTGGTCGTCAAATGTAATTCATACAAGGTTATGTTGGAGAGAAGTATTTGCATTTCTACTTATTGTCCAATTTGCTGTGTTTCTCTGAAAATTGGAGCATTTTAAAACGTGTTTGTTATGTACTTGTCAATTAAGCGTTTGTAGTTTTGAAAAGTGTAAAGAGAGGCTGTTCTACTCTTATGCAATTGCAATACAACCTTACTGAATATTCCCAGAAGCAGATACTTGATGCTGGCGATGATTCTGCTCAGTGTAAGAGTTGTGTGTCATTTGTGTGTTCGCGTATAAGGGAGGGGAGTTGACTTGGTCTCCAGTGTGACTGGATCTAGCACTGGAATTATGAACTTAGCTGTTCTGTGATTAAGAGCAAATATTTTTGTGCCAGTGGAGTTCTATCATCACCAATGTGTTCTTGATCAGGAAGCATCTGTTTTGCATTGTAATTTGCCAAGAGTTTCTGTCACCGCACTTTCAGGGCAGACACCAGAAGCTATATCCCTGATTCAACGTACCGGCAAATAAACCTTCCAGGTGTCTTTGTGGTGCTGACCACAATGGCTGATGGCAGGTGGCTGGTCTGACGAGTTTGGCTAACAAAAGGCCCATTTACACAGAATTCTCCATTACAGATACAGCACCAGAGTGAATTAGTATAATTCTGGCACTATCTTACTTCCATGGTCGCCTGAAACGTAATGCACTAAAAAATTGGACAAGTGTGTGGCGGTGGGGGAGGAAAAGAGAGAGGGAAAGGAATTGGGTAAGAACTTGCCTGGGTAATCACCAAGATGAACTGTGTAGTATATCTGTTAAAATCAAATTTGAATTAAATCTTCAAAAAAAGTTTAATGTACATTAAAAATGTATTTATTGGAGTGATAATAATTTGATATAGCGCCTTATCACGTCTTTGAGACGTCTCAAAGTGCATTCATAGGATACACTGTAAACTGAACTGACTGTATATTTTGCGGGCGAAACGCGGGTGAGATTGCGATTTAGATTGGGAACGGGATTGCAAACCATCAAAATTCGACCACCTTTAAATAAATCTTTTACCCGGATTGTTAAATTTCACTGTTCGTTTAGCCCCACAAACAGTCGCGAAGCGAACGATCAGTGTGAATGGTATTTTTGAAAGCTGCCGGAAAAAAAAACGAAAAGCTGTTCGTTATTTCCCAGTCACCAAAACTTTTGCGTTGCTTCGGTAACGTCAGAAGAAATATATATATATAAAATACAAGGAGAGTTACTGATTGATGATTCGGTCGATTCACGTACGGAGAGCGAAACCGGCCACTTTTACAAACTTCCTCTAGGTGGCGATCGCGTTACAGTTATATGGAAATAAAATCGGTTTTACCGTTAAAATAACTGCAGCGTTTTAAAGTGGTGACTTTATCCTGGTTTCTTCTCAATTCGCAGAATAGTCAATAGCAGATGTAGCGAAGATATTGCGCTCCTGCTGCACTCATGTTTCCTTTGATTTACCCAAAGGGCCCAACAGAGTGGTGAAATATTTAAGTGCACAAGGTGGTTGCTATTGGAACTAGATAAATGATCTGAGGACAGATGTATTCAAACTGTAACCTTTTCATTCTTTGTATTTGCTGCAAAGGGCAAAATACCTTTTTACGGATCTAAACCGAATCAACACTTTCTCTCTCTCTCTCTCTCTCTCTCTCTCTCTCTCTCCAAATGGTTTTCCTCCACGTTAGTTAAGAGTGGAGCATAAGACAGCCAAAGTAAGTAACATTTCTGACTAAATGTTGCTGGGGTTTGGCCTATTTATTCTTAATAATAACAATAATAATAATAATCCTTGCGTTTGATATAATGCTTTATCACCTCTTCGAGCCGTCTCAAAGCGCTTCACGGAATATACTGTAAAGTGAGTTGACTGTATATTTTGTGGGTGAAATTTTGCTATCACTAATATCTCCAGTACTTTTGGCCTCCCCCTCTCTTCTCAGTTTTGCTGAAGCCGTGTATAATGGTCAAGTTTTTCTCTTTTTTAAAAAAAAAGTCAATTCATATGTGAACGTAGACGCTGAACCTCAAAGCAGTGGACTGTTTGACCACAGGAAAAGAGAGTATCTGTCACACCTGCTCCTGATCCCTCAGTTGCACTGGTGAGCACACGTACACCCCATTCAGAGTGAATTCAGCCACTTGCTACAAAACTCACTGGAACTTGATCAGGATTTGGGAAACCTCACTCTTTGGTGCAGTGTGTATTCTGTTTCCCCCAGTCGTTGTTTTGCGTACTTCCACTACTTTGTTCCAATTCATACTCGTTACGTCCCACGAGCCACCCGTCGCTAATCTGGAGGGAATTGCAGTCTCCTCATTTGTGGCTGTTCAGTTCAGAATGGCAGACTAACTAATATCAGATGAAGAGCGTGGTAATTCTCACTAGGTTTTGTGACACATGTTGCAGTTGTAGTAGGATGAGTGACGGCTGTCAGTTCATGGTTTGTTTTTTACAGTTTGCATCCAAACAGAATAGGATTGTGAACAGGTTTTTTTTAAAAATGAAACCCTCTACTTTTCTCTTCTCACAGTATTACCAGTGAGGCTGGAGCATCAATATATAGCGTTAGCCCGGAGGCTGTCAAAGAGATGCCAGATCTGGATCCTAATCTAAGAAGTGCAGGTAAGGCAATTCACTTCAACGATTACGCACTTAAAAGATTATTGACCTAAGATGAGGGACAAGTCTTGGGGAATTCCAGCATACCTACGCCAACCATTGACTTTTCAGGTGACATTCTGATGTTAAAATGAATGCTGATCGAGTAGAACAATACCGTACAGCACAATATAATGCGGTAGTTGGGGTCCATAAAATCCCGACTAGCTTTATCATGGGATACAATCTCTCCGTCCACAAAATACTCAAGTCAGTCCACTTTACAGTGTATCCTGTGAGGCTCTTTGAGACATCTCAACGACATGCTAAGGCGCTATATCAAATGCAAGGATTATTATTACTTATCATCACCTGTCAGTGCTTCCGCATCCTCACATCACCCATCGTATGACCAGTGCCATTGCACGGGCTTGCAGAAAGCCGGTTGACTTCCCATGCTAAAACGTGTAAGGGAACCTACATTATAACAAAGCACTTTATCAAGGGGCTCTGCTGTATTACACGATTAAAAGTACTCCTATACAAGAAGTAGGTTCATAACTAAGATTATCCTGTAATACAAAATGATATTAAATAAAAACATTTGAAACACTAAACATCTCGACTGTTCAGCACCTTGGCACGTCCTCCTGACGTGAAAGGCGCTATACAAATATAATTTGTTGTTGTTGTATTAAGGCTTGTGCTTATTTCAGCTGTATTTTTTTAACCTGATTTATCATTCCTCCTATTTTGTGAAAACTCTTAACTTAAAAGCATTTTTCGCATATATTCGCTCTTAAATAGCAAATACTGTGTCAGCGTCCTTTTTAGGATATTTTGCAAAGCTAAATAAAGATCCCACAGCACTATTCAAAAAGAGAAGGAAGTTTCTCCCAGTATCAAGACCAACAATCCCCAAATAAAATTGGTCACTCACTCCACGGTTGTTATAATAATTACCAGGAACACTACTGTCGAGTGCTGTGAATTCTGACTTAATTCATGGTTAATTTTGCTGCAGGTAACCTCAATTAGATGTAAAAAAAAAACTTTCAAATATTAGCACTTGCATTATTCCATGAAATGATTTTGTACAATGTTGGGATTGTTGAGATTTACAAATTACCGCAACGTTTAGAAGCGCATTTGCCAAGGTTTCAATCCAACATAACTGTCTGTGATGTAATCGCAAAGAGAAAGGTATCAATTGGCATTTTATTGGTAATTTCAGAGGATGCAGGGAATTTGTTGAGCGACAGCAATATCTATTGCTGAGAGAGTACGGCTTGAAGGAACACCCCAAGAGTTGCACAGAGCAAAAGGTCACCCAGCGTAGCATTGTCAATTCCCATCTGCCTGTTATTTTTCCACAGGCCAGAGTACATTGGATTAATTTACACTTAAACTAGAGCAAACTGCTAACACTTTCCTTTGTTAAATGCCTCCTGGCTTGCGCTCGTGTCATGGGGTTTGAAGCCGTTATATCAGTGAGGTCATACCCTAGAGGGTGTGTCATGAAGGGAGAAGTACAGTCAGAAACTGTCATGGTGTCTTGTGAGCGCAAAAGTAAAGCGTTGAAACAATATAATTTCTTCTGACTATTTCTTAAGGTAGTAAGTGTATTTAAGGATTAGGTGTGTAGGAAGTTTTGCGTTAATGTCAACTTTAGCTAGCATCTGCTTTAACCCTCTTAAACCTAAAAGAGCATCTCTTGCCTTTGGCTGTGGGGAAGAAAAGGTCAGCATTTAGAAAGAGCAAAAGAACAATTATTCAGCAAAAAAGATTATTTTAATTGTCTTTCTTTGTAATTGCTTAAATCACAATTGCGATTCAGGGAAATGAATCATCAGTGCTCGTAGTGGTGTATCTGTTACGTCTGGTTTGTTGTCAATGCTCTTAGAGTAGCTGTCTATTTTATTTACCGTGAATCTCCAGTAGAATTTGCATCAGTCGTAGAGTACAAATTAAAAATGACAATTTATAGAAAACTTTAAATAAACTTCCAGATGTTTCCTCTTTAAGGCTTTCATTCCAGCATATGTTTATAATCTCAAGATATTTGGAGTAATGTAAAATTAAACGAGTGAATATATTGATTTATTTAGCCGAAAGAATAAATTGCATTGCATTTGGGCATAGTGTATTTATTTCTTTGTTCCGAATATCCTAACCATAATATATGTATATCTTGAATTTGTCTTTTACCATTCATACCGAAAAAACGGCTTATCATTTATTGAAATCCAAGTCTGAATCTGTTTCTGCCACCATTCAAAACTCACTCAAGGGCTGTTTGGAGTAGACAGGAATCGTATGCAAAACGACATTGTTTGTCGTGTAACTTATAGGCCAGTGGCAATAGGATTCCTGCTTCACAGAAAGTGACAGAGCTTGGCACCATTAAGTGAGAACATTGAAACCAGTTGAGGTTTTCAGAGTTCTTTGATAACTTGTTAATGGACTGTTACTACACACATGGCAAACGGTATTTTCTGTTGAAATCGACTCAAGCCCTTGTCCATTCAACAATGCCACTGAAGAGTTAAGAAGCCCCATTCATTGAAACGCTCCGTTATGTGTACTCCACAGTGTCAGTAAAGGAGCATTACTGCACGGAGCATTAAAATTAGAGTGATATCCCATTTTTTAAAAAAAAGATAATACAGTCCAGGCAATGTTACAGGATCTACTGTGCTAGACGTGGAATTTGTACTTTCGATGAGTCCATAAATTGTAAGGCAAAATTGTCTGGTAAGCTGACAAGGTAGCATTTTGGACCTTTGACATTGCATGGGAAGAAATGAAAAATTGATCAGAAGATCCTTTTTGAGGATAGAGAAAAAAACACATTTGGTTCAATAAACTTGCTCTTTTCTGATATAGTTTTGACCCAAACTGCCTGTCTTCTTACCAAGTCCCTTTTCCAAAAATGTATCTGGTTGCCTTGATTTCTGAGCCTATTTGTGCTGTCTGCTTCCCTCGTAATGTATTCTGAATTTTTTTTATATATAAAAAAAAGTTCCACACGATTTCTCTTGCACTTATCTCTTTGATTTTTAACTTGGCCCTCTGGTGTTTGAAACTTCCACTGTAATAAACGCTTTGTCAGAATTTACTATCAGTACTTTCAATAATCTTTAAAATCTTGCTTTGTAAACTTGTCGCTTTTCTGAATGAGCAAAACTGCACAATGGAATGAATACAAGCAAATTGCAGGGTAAAAATCTGATCTAAAAATGTGATTGTGTTTCTTCGCAGTAACTTCACAGTTACTTCACAGTTACTTCACAATGTAAGTGTAAAGTGTGCCACTGATGATCCAAGGTTTGCTTATGTTTCATGGATTATTACCAAAGAAAAAAGCCACACTGTTTTAACTACCACAGTTATGGTGACTGAACGAGGTTACTGCTCCTTGTGGCCCAAATGTTTGAGCTTTCAAGGTCCTCAAACTCATGGGAATCATTTTAAGAAAATTACTGAACGTTTCAGATTTTGGATCTGTTGAGGCAATTGGACATTACGTTTCTGGAATGTACATTTACGCGACAAAACAACTCGCTGTGAAGAAAATAAAAGAACCTGTTGTGAAATATCTTGTGTTCAGGATTGTCGTTTAATTAGGCTTAGCGAGCATCCCAAAAATAGGAATTGAGAACGGCGGAGCGTGAATAAGTCAGCCTTTGTATGTATGTTTGTGGATAATGTACAAAGGTGTCCTCATGTATTTTCTGGTATTTCTAAAAATGGAACTGTGGTGTTAAACATACGGCCATATGGCCAATAAATATCTCAAAACGTTCGGAAGTTCATTGACCTGGAAGCTCATATTCTGAGGTAGTAAAAGGTTCTCCTCTTCAGTTTTACTGTCATTGTGATGAATGGCAGCCAGGTTCAAATGTTAAGGTCCTTACCAGAGGATATGCTTCAAGTTTTTATTTGAATCCCTGCATGTTGCATTTTATTGTCTTGGAAAATTATAAATTTGCTCATTTTAGGAAACCAGATTTAAGTGAAACAAGCTAGATCTTTAAATCCCATTATTCCAATCATATTTCCAGTTCCTTCTTGTGGCCTCTTCTCTCTTTTTTTTTTTCTCTCTCTCTCGCTCCCACGACCCCCATCCATTCCACAGTCGCATGCATACGGAACGCAGGATTTCCAAATAAGAGGGTGAAGAGTCTGCCTTCATCCAGGCCACTTAATATGAGTGGTTAAAAGTTGTGTAAGAGAAGAGAGGCAGTGTGATTTTCCTTTCTTTCTGTGCTCTTCCCCCCCCTCTTCCACATTGCAGTGTATTTAAAAACAAAATGACCGCGATTCTGACGTTACATAGTCAATTGGATCTTGAGGCAAATCTTCTCAAGCCAAACTAAATGAAGGACAGTTAGTTTAGCAAAGCTTCTCTCTACTGCTGTCCTTGATAGGACACTATTGCTTCAACGTTGAGGTTTGTTGAAGTGCATAAAATCATGAGACTGAGGTGGGGGAGAAAAGTTATTCTGGGTTTAAAAGAACCTACCTGATCATTATTTTTTCCCCCCCGACACCAAACCACATTCCTTCACTCTGGTACATCAGGAATCGATTCTGTTTCCTTTTGAGTGCCTCAACTGAGTTTGTTTTTATTGCACTAGGTGGCATCCTATTCAATAAGTTAATGACTGTGTGAAGAATTTATTCACAAAGTCAAATATATTTTGTTTCTTCAGTGTGTATCAGCTTGTTAACCCTCCCACCCCCAGTTTAGTTGAGTGCCCATACAGTAGTGTCAAGTGCATTGAGATCTCCCCCAAATGTATCTGGTAGCGTTAGCCTGTCCTCATGCTGTTTCTACTTTTTGCACAAAATAACTCTCTATTCCCACCTTTTCAATTCTGTTCGTTATTTCAAAAAAAACTTCTCCCTTATTTTTGTTTCCTGATTTGGTAATATTATTTATCTTTCTTCATACCTCCTTGATGTAAAATTTCAAAGGGGTACTACTTACGGGCAGCAAAAAGGACTCTTGAATTTAATTA